CTGCAGGATGAGGTCCACAGGGAATCTGGAAGTCCCTGTCGCTTGCTTTTGGATTGCCTGCACCAAATAACTGGCAGGAGGCCAAACAAGATAATTAAAAGCCACAGTGCTGACCCAATACTTTAAAAATGTTCACTTAGGCAAAAAGGTACAAACCTTCACTTTGGCAAAAAAGTAAAGTTGTCTATAAGGCAGGTATATAGACAATATATGGCATAAATCTTGGTAGCAAAGAAAATTCTAAGGACATTCAAATGTTTGCATTTGTTTATCCAAGAAGTGCAAATTAAAGCACTACTGAACTATCAGTGCACATCTAGGGGAGAAGGAGGGTGTACACAGGTGGGTGAGACCAGGCCTCGGATGCTTGTCTGGAAAAAATAATACAATGATTAATAAATAAAACAATAATATACTCTGTGTCTTGTGTGCTCAAAATTGTAAAGCCACATTTACCCACCCTTGCAGATGAGGTTTAATGCCCTCTGCAGACAAGAGAAGGGTGAATGGGCCCCCACCACTGCCTGACCTTCTGGTTCTATTGCATTCGAGGACAGTCCTTTTAGGATCCTGGAGAATGATGTACAAACCTGTTCTGGACCGCTCTGCCTGGTTTCAGGAATTGTAACTCTACCCCCACCCCCGTGGCTAAGGATGAGTGAGCAACCTCCGGAATCAGGCCACAGGAGACAAAGCCTGTCTCTGGTAGCAAATGCTGCCTCAGTTTCCTCTCCCTATTCCCAAAGCATGGTCAGAAGTCTATGATGGGTAAGTCTCTTCACAGAGAGAGGGGCAACCTAAGCCAGACTTGATCACTTGGGAGGCCATCATGGAAGGACTCAGGGGGCTGTAACAAAGAGTGAGCAATGGACCCTTGCCCCCCTCCCACCCCGGCTACATGACATAGCCTGAGTCCCCATGTCCTCTGGGAGAAGCGCTTCCTGGTTCTAATCACCTTAAGCCTGAATACCTGATGGAGAGGGGTGCAGCTCCTTGCCTTGCCAGAATGGATGGGTGGGGGAGGAAATCTGACATCACAAAGAATTCCTAAAAATCCTGTGAAATCTACTCTGCTAAGAGTGCTTTCATTCATATGTTAAGGGTCCGAGCAGGAAACCCTAAAAGTTCCTGCAAAACTCCCTCCCTGACAGACTCTGACTCAGACTAAGCCCTCAGATTTCTTTGAAATGCTATCTGTTGTTTGATCCTTGCCGCCCTGTATTCCCCTGTATTACAACCCAATAAAAGCTCCTGGAGGAAGGGACTCAAGGCCTTTGTTTCCTCGGAGACACTGGTCACCTCTCCTCCCCAAGCAGATCATGTCTTGGTAGTGCTTCTTTTCATCCGTGATGGGGGGCAGGGGGTGGAGAACTCATGGGAAAAGTCGCCCCCACACAAACCAACGAGGTTTACAATTCAGCACTTCTTCCTAGAGGACATTTTTGTTTTCTGTTAATTTAATGAAAAATAAAATAAAAATTTGAACAGCTACATAAACAAAGATGCCTTTTATGTACAAAGAATAAAGAAGAAAAACCACTGAACTAACAGTTGAGTAAACCGTATAAAATAACAACTAGTTGGAATATTATGTAACAAATAAAATGGTAATAAGAAAGTGGATGTGTACATTTTGGAAATACATATCTAGATGCTATGAGCAAAAAGCAGATTATTAAACTATATATGCCAATAAAACTGTTCAAATGTATATTGTTTGATACAAGGTGCAAGAGATGATATAAAATAAAAAATTTTAAAAAGGCATGTCAGGATAGGAAACTTTTAATAGCATGTTTATATTGTTTAAAAGGAAAAATCTGATCTTAAAAAGTGACAGTCCTGTTCTTCCACTATTCAAAAGCAGTTTACGGTGAGTGAGTGGTGGAAGCAAGTGAGGGCAGTAAAGTCCACCCGATGAACTGTAACTCACACAAAGGACTCTCCTAGGAAAGGGAATTTCATAAAACCAAAGCCGGGCTAAATGCTCGGAGAAGATGTTAATATTCACACTGAATTCTATTCCAACTAACCTCACGTTCATTGCTGTATGCAGCCCTGCCCTCTAATTCAAGTTGGCTTTAAAACACCTAGACATTAATGCCAATCAAGTCTGTCTTTTCATACTGAGAAACCACATTCTCCTCTCTAATAGCAAATATATGCAACATAACACAACATGTTAACAATATTTCAGATTCTCTTTTTTTTCAAATAAAGCAGAAAAGGTAGGACACTGATCATCTAACACGGGTATCATATTGTCAATAACTTCTCATCTTGATTTTACAAGTGAACTGTAGAACGAACCAGTTTGTGTAACATTTATCTTGACTCACACTGCAAACAGGCTGCAGCCTTGTCTGGTGTGAGCGCAGGAACGGGTCCAGCTGGGCTCCTCTCTGAATTATAATTACCAAGGAATCACTTTATTTTTTATTGAACTTATTGGGGTCGCATTGGCTAGGAATTATTTTAGAACCAGTCTTACGTAAGATTTCTGTTTCCAAAAAATTATAAATTAGTATTTTTATCATCATGAAAAATCTAAGCACAGCCTTCACTAAAAGATTAAACATAATGTTAAACTCCCATTTTATCCTGCATAATGAAAAAACCAAACCTTGCCATTTTCAAACAATTTTAACCTTCAGTTCAGCATCTGTCATCGGGAATTTGTGCACACCCCTCAGTAAATGTCTCCAAAATGAAGTAACTAAAACTATATTTATTTTGAATTGTAGATATGGAAAACCAATGGTACATGTGATTTTAACACACTTATCAATGAATACAACAGTTGTAAAACAGCTGTGGGACACCATCTTCTCCTATACAGCCTCAGTCAAGTTCGCACCTTGCTCATGGAATATCTGAGTAACATTTGGACAACTTGGCCAGGGCTCCAGGACTGAATGGCAGATTTGATTGGATTGACTCACAGTAAATTAATGCAGAGGTTGTTACAAAGTATCCACGCCCTCAGATGACTATGTTCTTGCACCAAAACACAAATGATCAAGGTGATGGCCCTTGGCTGAGGCCACCACGGCCGCTGTGTGGTTCCTTGAACACACGAGACACACCCCCACCACAGCTCCACATCTGCAGGACTGCTCCCATGGTTGACCGAATGCTCTTCCCCTGAGATATCGGGTCGATTCACTCTATCCAGTTCACACAGGTGTCTAATGAAATCCCCTCGTCAGAAGGTGCTACCTCTTCTTCCTTCCCGTCCTATTACCTTTCACCTGTCTGACTTCTAATCTTTTCTGTCTTTATTTCACCTGTCACATTATATATTTACCTGTTGACTTTATTATCTATTTCCCCCAATGCAATGAATGTTATATGAGAGTAGAGACTTTATTTTTTCAATGCTGTATCCCCAGCCTTTAGAACAGTCCTGGCACATAATTGGTGCTCAGTGCATTTTTACTGAGTGAATGAATAATGAGTGAATATATGAATGAATTAATGGGGCCAGAATGAATGAACATGAGTTGATCATAAAAGGGGACATCATTTTTCTGCTAATAAAAATGTGAAATAATTCTGTATATTCAGTTACAGAAAATGTTTTCAATTAAGCTATTAATAAGCTTGCAACAGAACACAAAGAACATGGTAATTAAAATAGAAAGAAATTTTGTGTATTTTGTCAACCCCCCCAAAATCGTAATGCTCCTTTCAGAAAAATAGTCTTGCTATATTTCATAAGCCAATACATGCTGTTTAGGACTTAAAAGCTAGAATTCAGGCATACCAGTCAAATGGAATTTCATACACGAGCACCCACTCCGTGAATCATCTTTCTCTTTCTTTTTGCCTCTTCGACCTGATGCAGCCAAACCCAGTTCAGCTATTAGCTTCTCCATGGAAACTTCCCAGTTCTAACCATCACACAGATCTATTTTCTCTCTGCATCTTATTTTTTACTGGGAGCTTCTTAGATCATTTACATTTTCTTACAGTCTAGATTTGTTATTTTTTGTTTATCATTGTTTTTGCTACTTGTTATATTATTATTAATAATTTTGTTATTGCTTTCTGTTGTATGTTCATGCTTTGTCTCTAACATGAACATCGCCACTTTGTTACGCCGCCAACAGCACCAACCGCACCGCAGTCCACTGCATGAGTTAAGTACTAAGTATACTGGAATAAATAATAACCACCATCTGCAAATCTAACTGGCCTAGAACTAAGAAGAGACAATGACTGATGACAGAAGGCTCTCTGTCTACTCAGATTACAATGAGGACTAAATTCTTCCCTATTTTTCCATTTACACAGTTTCACTTCCTTTTGAAATTGGAGAATTGACAGAAGAGGAGCAAGTAATTATTTCAAAAAAAGGATTCGATTTGTGATACTCCACTCACCTTTTGGATCTGATGTAGCTACCTGAAGTCACACACCTACCGTGGCTCTCCCAAACAGAGCACAGTTGCAGAAGACAAACCATTTGGACAGGACCCATCTGGGTGCCTGCTTACATTTTCAGAAACAACATACTATATGGGTTATTGGACTGTAATTTTGCCAGGAGTGAGAAGATCATCAAAACCCCAAGACAGCATCCAGCTCACAACATTCGGGGAACAGGGATCCAAACCACCGAAGAGTGGAAGGTTCACCAAATGCAATGAAAAGCACTTTGTTTAACTAGTTGCACCAGTTCCTACCAAGCAAGTTGCTACAGTGAATAAGGTCAATGCAAATTTTGTACCCAAAGTACAAATATAAGGGTTGTAACACTCTGGGCCACAATGATATAAATGCAGGATGGCATTCATTTGTATAAATAAATAGTCACGGAAAATATAGGAACTTAAGTTAGAAAATACTATGTAAGAATTATCTAGTTTCCAAAATTTTCTTCCAAACACGTGAGTTCTTTGAATGTTTCAGTTATAACGTCATGTTGCCAAAATGTAAACCCAACCGTCAAATAAACTTGGGCACAGCACAGCCGAGGCCCGCGCACACTCACGTACCGGTGCACACCGCTGTTGCACATGATGACGTGGCACGCCCCCAGCCTGCTGCACAGCTCCGAGGACACCGACAGCAGCCCCACACCCGAGGCACTGCACGCGGTGTTCGCGCAGGTGGCTGTGCGCTTGGACCTGATGAACGAAGCTACCAGGCGATAAAGTTCATCCAAGGCATTGAGAGGCCTCATGAGCTGCAGAACAAAGAGACAAACGGGAAGTTCACATGTTTAGGGGAACAAAATCCTTTTAGATGGAATATAATTTATTGTTGTTCTAACTTTTAATGAGTGGTCTAAAATATTTTATTATGGAGGTAACAGCATTGGAGATGACCAATATTTATAATTATATACACATTTCTCAAGAACAAGAGTGGCAAAACTAAGTAAGGGAGGCATGTAAATTATAAGGAATAAATAAATGCTATCATTTATTTTTACCTTATCAATGTAGGCAGCCTTGGATGTGGAGTTGGGTGGTGAATTTGACTTGTCCAAGTAGAACGCTCTGTGAGAGTCCAAAGAATAAGTAATCATTTATTGTGAAAAAGTTAAAATGCATGAAGACATACACAAGTTTCACTGACTTCCTTTTGAAGACAAATGAATAACCAAGTATCAAACACTAAGGTGGGTGGCACTGCAAAAAAAGTGGATAATTTTCAGTTCCAAAACAAATATTTAAAGATACTACCAGCTCCATTACATATTACATGTCCTCAGAGAGATTACCCCATTTGTCTATGCCTCAGTTTCCTTTTTGGTAATTTGGAGATAATACTAGCATTTACTTTACAAGGCTGCCAAGATGACTATGAGTTAATGCAAATAAAATGCTTAGAATAGTACATGGTGCAGAGTAAGTACTCATTAATATTTGCAATATTTAATATTATTATAAAGGTTGAAGAAATATATTTTCTTGTGGCTACTGGAGGATATTATCCAGTTTTCATTATTGTGCAAGTGTGTGATTATAAAATAATACTCAAAAAACTACTTGTAAAAAGACTGCTGATGGATTATTTCAGACTGGAAGTTAAACCCCTTCCAGGATACAATAGCTCTCTTTTGTCACCAGGATGGAACTGGTCACCACTATTTTAATACACTATGTGGAATCCCACTTAGCAGTAATGTTGTTTGGGTTTTGTCTAAGATCAAGTAGCATGGACTAATCAAGTATTACATTTTAAATTAGGAAAGCTTTAATAGTAACTTCCAAATGAAAATTAGCTTATTCATCTCTCAAAGACAAACAATAACAAATTTTAAAACGGTTTAGCATCCAAGATTCTTTGTTACTCGTTATAATTCATTTTGAACTTGTAGATTTCCATGACCATCTCGGCACAAAGGTGGTCCCTCAAAGCTGGAACCCAGTGAGATATCTCAGTAAGATGCCCCTATGCCCTTCCTCGAGTGTGCTCGGTACACAAGTCTGCGGATACATTATTCCCTCAGCCTGAACCCCACAGCTATCTTGGTCCTGAACGCACAACACTTCCAGGAGTGTGGGGACCAGAGGGAGCCAGGAAAATGTTCAGCTCAGGATGACTGAGTATAGGAACGTGAGCCACTGAAAAGGGAACATCCACCAAGTGCCATTAAAATAGTTGCATTTACCTGGTTGAGTCAAAATCTACTAAGAACACAGGATGGAGAGCAAAATCAGAGGAATGTGAACTACTTTAAAATGTTCTGGACTTTTCCCAGCATCAGGAAGAGACAATAATGACCTAAGAAGATTGCTGCTGTAGGAAAAGGATTTGAGCATGCATTGTGTGTCGTGCAAGAGGCAGTGTGGCTGGAGCTCGGTTGGAATGAACAAATGAGCAGCTTAGAAAGAGGCTCAAACAGGCACACTCTGTAGGGCCTTGTAAACTCTGATAAAGATTTGCATCTTAACTTGTTCCTTTACCAGAAGACAGGCTGTTTTATATACACTTTATTGCTACACATAAAAATCCATGTTTTCCCGAAAGATCTGAGGGCCTTTTTCTTTCAGTTATACAGGTACACATTTAGGTGAATACTGTGCAAACCTATGCATGCACCCCATGCTTTAACAACCTTAGCATTTTGCAGTCTGTTTCTCCTTTTGAGGAAATGAAACAGTACAGATGAAGATGAGCCCTTTGCTGCTCACCCTTCTCCACTCCCATTCTGGTTCCAAAGGCTCCCTCCCCAAGGAAAATACCACCTGGAAGCTGACACATTATTTCCACACTTTACAAGGTCACCCACATGCTTGGCATAAATGTAGATACTGAAGAATAGCTGTTTTCTCTTTACCTTTTTTTCCTTTAAATCCACACATTCTTTCTAGGCCTGCTTCCTCAAGAAGCTCATTATTTAATTAACATTTTTTGGTCAGTGTCCATTGGTATATCCAGCACAGAATTCTAGAATTCAATTGACAGAAGATTTTTTTCACCTCAATACTGCTTTGGGATCTGCTCTCAGTCCACTTGTCTTTGCTTTGAGTCTTGTCTATATTTTTTCTCTGATAGGTTACGATTTTCTTTTTATCCTCGATGTTCTAAAGTTTGATCACAAAATGTTCAGGCATTGATTTACTTGTACGTATCCAGAGAGTTTCAAAGAACGCTCTCCTCATGAGAAAGCTTGTCTTCCCTTCTAAAATCATCTCTGCTATTATCTTTCCACAGAATCTCATATGTATTCTCTCTCTCTCTCCATACAGATACCTACACACAGAGACACTGAAACACACATGTACACCTTCTTTTAAGATTTTATTTTTCCATTATTGCATTTTAGATTATTTGCTAAGTGATGCCTTTCAAATAAAAAGCTCAAGTATGGAGTTTATCCTTTCTAATAAGAATTTTATTTCAATAATTAACTTTTCATTCCCAAGATTTCTGCCTATTCTAATTTTATTTCTACCACTAAAAGGTAAACTGCCCTATGAAAATGTAAACTTTCTATGTGGTTATGGATTTTATTTACTTTTGTTCATTGCTCAACTCTAGCACCTAAAACAGTATGAACTTAATAAACATCATAAATAAATATTTGGACAAAAAAGGTAAAGGTATTAAGCCAAAAAAAATTAAAAAAGAAAGAAAACTCAACAACTCCTGGACAGGCAACAGTACGCTAATCACCAGAGGAAAAGGGAGGAGGTAGGAGAGGAATTAAATGGTGTTGGAAGGAGACTAGACTTGGGGTGGTGGACACACAATACAATACACAGCTGATGTACTACAGAACTGTACACCCGAAACCTTTATAATTGTATTAACAATGTCACCCCAATAAATTCAACATAAAATAGTTACAGGAAACAAAATAATAATCAGATAACTGACTCTATGTCAAGATTTTCTATTATTTTTTAAGGGATTGCAATCTTTTGTTTATATTTTGAGCATCTAAAATATACTGTGGCAGACTATCCCAACATTTTAATTTCTTTTGAGTCAAATTTACTTTCAATAGTCAATCTTATTGGCTCCTTCATAGTGTTAGACTCTCTCGTGTGCTTTGGAATTTTGTTTTGCAAGTTCATTTGAGGTGAGATGATTTTAAAAATTTTTTATAAAGCTCCATCCCCAACCTCTCATCATGTTTCTCTTACCAGTGACTGTGTGCTCACTTTGTGCCCAGAGCCCCGCATGTACAATCACCCACACTGTGCTCACATCTTGGTCACTACCAGCCACACCCTGAACCAGCGAACGACTTGGTTCAGTTCCCAGTTTGACAGACGCATCAGCTGCCTCCTCCATCTCAGCGTCTCTTCCATCTTAAGTCCACAAAAGCCACGGTCTCAGGCAGTAGCAGAGAGCAGGTTGTTCATCCTTTGCTCAGAGACAAAGAGTCCTTCTCTCTGCCCTAGTTTTTAACCGTGGGGCTGGCTCTGGATCTCCACCTAGTGTGAGATGACTTTAACTTCGCATTTCTCTGAGGAAGTTGTACAGACCCCTCTTTCCACCACCGGAAGACAACAGGCCAGGGGCCTCAGCACAGCTTACAACACATTGCTTGCATTTCCTCCCATTCACAGGTCACTGAGACAATAAAAGCCTCAGCTGTGACTCTTATATATCCTGCCTTCCTATGTCATCTAGCATTGATATACGTTTGGAACAGAGGTGGTGCTTCAAAGCCAGAAGCCACAGAGCCACCCTGCTCAATGTCCCCACACCTTCCTCAGGTGTGCTTGGTAGGAAAAGAGTCAACAAGTTAGTTAGCCTTCCAGGGTCTCAAGTACCACATTTTTACAATGGATATTAAAACAGTCCTACCTATTGCTAATGTTGGAGATTAATCAGTACATGTAAAGTGCTCGGTACTGCAGTAAGCAAATGGGGCTCATTCCATAGACAACTATTATTCAAGTGCACACAGTAGAAGCCACGCAAGCCAAAATGCCCCGCTTCCAAGGCCATCTAAAATATTTTATGATCCATGTAAACATGAAAATTAAGGTAGATATTTGGCATCTACATAATTCCAGGACCAGTGCACAAACAGGTTCAGGTCTAAAAGGATAGAAACCTTTTTTGGGTCAAAGAAGAGTATGATTTAAATGGCTTACTCAGGAGCACTGGCTGTGGAAACAGCAGTTCTTATTTGCCCTGAATAGTTCAGGAAGAAAAATATTCTGTAAAAGTCCACGGATCATGAGTACAACAGTATGGTGATTATCAGAGGGAAAGGGTTTGGGGGAGAAGGGAAGGAAAACTTGGGGCTGGAACCTGCCACCACAGCTTGGCACCTGGGACACTCCTCCTGCTTCCTGAAAAATGCCCCTTAAAAATAAAGTTAAGAGCAGGATCATGTTAGTCTAATTCTACCATATTCACCTAAAATGACTTGGCAGATATCTTCAACTTTTCAATGGGGCAAAATATTTAAAAACATAGTTGATGAAGAGAGCCAGGAGAAAAAATAACTTTTATAGATGTAAAATAAATAAGTGAAATTTTTTTAGAAACAATCTCATCTTTCCTTCATAGCATAGCTAAAGCAGAAAAATCACTGAATAACATTAACTGCACCCTTGAAAATACTCTTAGAAGAGAAAGGCAAACTACAAATTCAGAGTTAAATATATTCCTGGTCCAGACTTAGGCAAGCAGCTAGTATTTGTTAGTCCATGATCACAGAAAGAAACAAATTATTATAAAATATATCTATGAGCTGATGATAGCTAGAGAAAATAACCACGAAATAGAGATGCCTTATTACTCTCAGGAAATTTATTTAGCCAGCAAATATTTTAATCAATTATTCCTTAAAATAGACATTGGGAATTGAGACCACAACTACTTTTAGGTATATGCCCCACCAGGAGAAAAGCTTGTTCAGCAAGATATTTTACCATCCCCAAGGTTTGCAGGTACTGACAGAACTTCCGTCTTCTTCAGAATATGACGCACTGTGGATAGGAAATGAATTCCTAATGCACTTCTCTTAATTGCAAGTCCTACAATGCCCCTCAATCAAAATTTATGAGAAAGTTAATGGTAAAAT